TTTTGCCAGTGGAGCCATGTCACTTGTACAAATTCATCCTTTGATATTTGAGAGTGGTGACAATTTAAATAAAGCAGGTGAGCTGCCTTCACTGTTTCCTTCTCTGTATGTTGCAACTTAGAACTTGAGTAAGAGGCTCCTGCCTGTCTTCAAGCTTCTCAAGCTTTTCTTTTCCAAAGCACCACCTCTAGCATAGCCCCAGCCCCAGCTCTGGAGCAGTGCAAGTCCGATGGGAGAGGCAGAGGGGATTACAGCCACTGAGAGAGCAGATGATCCAGGATGAGGGCCCAGCACAGTGGCACTGGTAGGGTGGAGGGTGTCAGGGAAAGCCTCCCATCCTGGTTTCAGGACTGGGTCTTGAAGGGGTGGGAATGTGTGAGGTGGAGAAGGCAGGGAAGGATATCCCAGGCAGAGGGAACAGCCTTGGCAAAGAAAGGTTCAAGAAGGACAGCTTGGGTTGTGAGTGGCTAGACTGGGAGATGTCTGGAGAAGTTGGCAGGGGCTAGAATGCTGGAAGTTCCCCACCTAGGGAGCCATGGCAGGGTTTGGAGTGTGGCCAGCTCTATTTTGTAAGGCTGTCTTTGGCCGCAGTGTGGAAGGCCTGGGGGCAGGAAATACAGAAAGGAGAACGCTGGACATCAGTTAGAGCAGAGAGGGTGGCAGACCCTGCATTGTGCATGCCAGAACACCACCATGTCAGGTCTGGTCACAAGAGGGCGCTGTGGGTCAGCAAGCCGTGGAGGCCCCTGCTGGTGGCAGGGCCATGCACACAGGTGTGCACAGCTGTGCATGTGGGTTATGTCTGTGAACCTGCCTGCACCTGCATGGCCACTCCACGTACATTTACGTGGGGTTGAGACTGTGCAAGGGCTCGTGAATGAGCATGTGCAAAGGGTGCACATAGGTGAGAAGAGGGGTAACTCACCTCCTACCCCCCCTGCCACACTGGTCTCTTTGTCACTCTCCTATAAGCCATCCACCTCGGGGCCTTTGTACATGCTGTTCCCTCTGCTTAGAATGTTCTTCTGCAGATATCTTTGTGGCTCCCTCTCTCATCTCCTCAGGACTCTGCTTACATGTCCCCCTCGAGGTAGGCTTTTCCTGACCTCTTTAAAATTACAGCCCCGCCTCCCAGACACACTCCCTGTCCCCTCCCCTACTTTTCCCCCTAGCACCTATCACCCTCTAACATACTATGATTTAACTTAGGCATTTTGCTTGTCTGGCTCACCCGCTAGGTTATCACCTCCCAAGGGCAGGGAGTTTTGCCTGTTTTGTTCAGTGTTGTGCCCTCAGTGCTAGGCACACAGTAGGTACCTAACAAATATTCGTTGAATGAATGAATAGCTGCTTCCATCCTGGGTCGGGACCATCCTCTCTCTCCAGCCCTCTGTCACCCCAGGTCCCGCCCACCTTGGCTCACACCCACATCCTGACTTTGGCCACACCCCTTCCCATCCTGACCCTCAATTTCCCTGTGTCTGCAGAGAGGGGTGTTTGGGACTTTTCTCCTCAGAGCCAGGGTAAGAGGCAGCCTGCTGTGATCCATGTCAAATGCCCCTTTTGGTTTCTGAGTGGTCTTGGAGTTCCCCAGTCTGTGCCACTTAAAGGCAGGAGGAGGTCAACAGATTTTGCTGCAAAAAGCCAGCAGGAGAAAAACATCTGATGGCTGTCCGGTGATGCTCCTGACACTGGCAGCGGGGCAGCTCTGCATCCCAGTCTGGCTCTTGTCTGGCCCTCACATGTGACCTTTTTACACTCCCCATCTTTTTCTTCTGCTGTTTCTTTCCAGGGATGCTCTTTCTTGCTTCTCTGCCTGGCAAAGAAGCAAGAAACTGGTTCTTAGAGATCCAGACTCCAAATCACCTTCTCTGAGAAGGCTTCCCCGACCCCACCCAGGCGGAGTCCGGCACCTTTCTGGGACTCTTGCTCATGCATCTATTTATAGCACTCCACATAGAGTTTTGTGATTCTTGGGCTGTTTGTTGGGCACCCTGACTAATCTGTAAACTCCTTGTATGTGAGGGCCTTGTCTGAGTCATCGGGGTGCCCAGGAGGTAGGCATGGGACCAGAGTCACTCTACCCAGGTCTGTGGCATGTTTTCCTCCTTCCTTTATTCATTCCTCAGATATTTATTAGGCACCTACTAGGTGCCCAGCTCTGGTCTATGCATCAGGAATGCTGCAGGGAATGAGACGGGTAGGATTCCTGCTCAGGAGGGGCAGATAGTCTGGAGGGAGAGCTGCCTTAAAAACAGAGCAAGTAAGAAATGCATCAGCAGCAAGAGCGCTGAGCAGAGAATTAATGGTGGTTTAGGGACCACAACTGGGAAGGTCTCTTAGGAGAGTTCATTTAGGAGGAGGTCTGAGGGATGAAAGGGAACCAGCTCCAGGAAGGGAGTGGAGGGGGGTGGGGGGTGGGGGAAGAAGAAGATGTTCCAGGCAGAGGGAGCAGCAAGGGCAAAGGCTCTGAGGCAGGACTGGTGTTGGTAATTTCAAGGGGCAGCACTTGAACAGACCCTTGAACATACCAAGGAGCAGAGTGGGCAAGGGGAAGTGTAGGGGGAGTGTGAGAGGAGTGGAAGTTGGAGCCTGAACCCAGTAAACCCACTGGACCAGGTTTGCAATTCTGGTAGAGAGGTATCTGCTGCTGGGTGCCCATTTTACAGATGGATAAGTGCAGGTCCCAAGTGCTTGACACCCAGGGGTGGTACTGCCAGGGTGGAGGTGGCGCACAGTGTGTTTACCAACTCACATTTCCTGGGCACCTAGTTAGTGAGGGCCAGGCACTTCTAAGCCTGAGCTCATGAAACGCTTTCAGAAGCCTCATTGTGCCCATGGGATAGGTAAGTAAACTGAGGCATAGAGCTGCTCAGTGACTTTCCCAAGGTCATCCAGCTAGTAAGTGGCAGAGTTGGCATTTGAACTCTGAGTCCAAAACTTGTGATTTTCCATCCCATTGCCTGGAAAGTGTGAGCAGTAGACACAGGAAGAGAATAATGATAGTTATGAGGTCTTTCCCTCTTATCTCATCTGGCCCTCCCTCCTCTGTGTGGGTGGGGCCCTGTGGGAATCACCTGCGTGGACACGTGGGCAAGCAGGGGTCAGTCCCCTGCTTCAAGCGTTTCTGGCAGGTGGTGGAATCTGCTTCCCTCACATGAGGTCTCTGACTGGGCATGCACTCATGCCTGCCTGGAGGCCAGGGCTGACCCCTTCACCCTCACCAGGCGCTTCCTGCCCTCACTAGCCCCAGCTTTCCATCCAGAGTCACTTGATCCCAGTGCCAGATTGGTCAGTGGCCCTTGAAACCCCCCGTGGCTCCATGTTGGAGCAGAGGGTGGACTAAGGTTCCAAGAGGAGAGGAGGAGAGAACCAAGGCCCAGGAGAGAGCCAGGATGAGACCTGGGCTTGTGGAAGGGAGTGGATGCATTGAAAAGCTGCCTTACTCCCTCTGAGACTCAGTTTCCCCGTGTGTAGAATGGGTGCAGTAACGACAGAACCCTGAAAGTACTTGTACTGTCTTGTCACTCTACACCCCCAAGTTGGCCTGTCTCCTCACCCTGGCACGGGCGCCCGTGGACGTCTGCTGATGCAGGGCATAAATGCATGCACGCTGGGCATGGTGCTAAGCCCTCGACAATGTGCGGCCCACAAACGTGCTGAGTGTCGCCAACGCCACGTCCCGTCCTCAAAAGCAGCCCCGAGAGGTGGGACTGTTATCGCCTCTCTTTGACAGAGGCGGAAACAGAGGCTCCGGGTGTCCCCGACTTGCCCGAGGTCACTCCCGCTACCGAGTTTCCGAGTCAGTTTTGAACCCTGGTCTCACCCCAGGAGCGCACTCTTAACCCCGCGGTAGCACCCAGCCTGCCCGCCTCGCAGGGCCCCAGCGGGCCACCTGGGGGATCTCCGGGCTTTTCCAGATGACGCACCCGGGAGGCGCCCACGCAGCGCGCCCGCCGCGGGCTGCGGGGCTGGGGTCGCGCGGGGGCGGGGCCC